GCTCGTGGCAGATTTAAAAATAAAACAGCAAAATTTCAAGGAAATGCTCAGTTGCTGAGTGCAGGGCACCAGGGACAAGATGGAAGACAACCAGAAAGTGACAAAGCACAGAGAGTCAGGTGTGAGGCCCTGTGGGGACCGTGGGCCAGTAACCTCAGAGGCCTCCCTGCTTTCAGCCTTGCTGCTAGGGCTGGTCCTGGTCCTCTGGAAATGTGTAGGTGACAATCGGTCTGCTCTAAGAAAGCAGGGGTACATGTCATTTATTGGAGAAAATTTCCATTAAAACAAAAATTTTTTGAGGTTTGGCACTTAAAGGGGTAGGCTTAAAAGTTTTTAATTTTTAAAAATTGTGCCATAATATATAGAGAGTAAAATTGACCATTTTAGCTATTTTTATACAGTTCTCTGGCATGAATTATATCCCCATGGTTGTGCAATTATTACTAGTACCCACCCACAGAACTTTTTCATCTTTGCAAACAGAAACTCTGTACCTACTCTTTTTTTTTTTGGTGGTGCTGGGGATTGAACCCAGGGCCTTGTGCATGCGAGGCAAGCACTCTACCAACTGAGCTATGTCCCCAGCCCCCCATCTCTGTACCCACTAAGCCACAGCTGCCCACTCTCCCCACCACTCACCCCTGGCACTCACCATTCTACTTGCTATCTCTATGAATTTGCATACTCTGGGTCTCTGGGTGCCTCGCTACAATTCTTATCTTTGGCTTATTTCACTTAGCATAACATCTTCAAGGTTAAGTGTATCCATGTTGTAGCGTGTGTCGGAACTTCTTTCCTTCTGAAGGCTGAATGATAATCCATTTTAAATCTATGCCACAGCTTGTTCATCCATCAGCGGGCACTTTAGACTGGAGTTGGTTCCATCTTTTGTCCATTGTGAATAGTGCTGCTATCCATGAACTCGGATATACAAGTGTCTGAATCCCTGGTTTAATTTCTATTGAGTATAGACCCAGAAGTAGAATTTCTGGATTATATGGTAATTCTATGGTGAATCTTTTTTTTTTTTTTTTGGAATTGGGGATTGAACCCATGGGCACTTAACCACTGAGTCATATCCTCAGCCCTTTTTTGTATTTTATTTAGAGATAGGGTCTTGCTGAGTTGCTAAATTGCTGCCGCTGACTTTGAACTCTGATTTGCAATCCTCCTGCCTCAGCCTCCCGAGCCGCTGAGGTCATAGGCATGCACCACCATGCTCGGCTCTGGTTGATCTTTTCACAAACTACTGTTTCCCATAGTGGAAAGTGCCATTTCACATTCCTACCAGCAATTTCCTCACATCCTCAACAACACTTACTGTTTTCTTTTTTGTTTGTTTTGAAAATAGCTTCTCCCTAATGGGAGAAGCTGAAACCTTATTTACATGAAGAAACTCATTCTCCAATGATACCCAATAAAAGAAACGAGACTTTTCCATATATGGCCAAGGTGGGTATTTTCTTATCTCTAGAGGAGTGTTCTAGAGGTTTCCCTTGGAGGTAGGCACCTGCCTCCCTTCTTCTATTCAAGAGAACTTCTGGAATCTCTTCTGCCACTCTGGGAACTGTGATGCATACGGATAGATGGGAAGGTGCACACAGAAAAAGCTGAGAACCAGTTTAGAAAGATGCTCAATAGTTGGTTGATTTTACATTTCCACCTGATTTCTGTGGACTTTCCCCCACTCTCTTTTTGCCCTATTATTTTCCACCTAATCTTTAAACACCAATCTTGCCTTTGCTGTCAGTACACTTGTGCACTAATTAGATATGGTTTTCTGCTCTTTACTCTAATGGCCTATTCCTATGGTAAATTACACCATTCATAATTTCCAGTTTATTGCTTTTCTCCAAACACTTTTGCTTTCATTACAAGTTCATAAATTAAAAGTCAACTGCCCAAAGATTAAAAAGAGAAAAGTCTGCAATACGGGGGAGACCCCCTTCCAAATATGTATGTTACAGAGAACAGACTTTGAACGGTTGCAATCTACTCCAGCAAGAAGGGTTAGTGAGGGAAGGAAGAACTCCAAGCCCTAGGGATCCTGAGCTCAATAGCTCATTAGCGCCAGTGCAACCAAGAATCCAAGACCAAACAGGAGCACCCAAGGAGGGTGGTAGATTGTGAGCTGCACAGTAATTGGCCAGATGATTCCCAAGTCACAGATATCAACCGTTTTTTAGATGACAACCCAAATGAAACACATTTGTGTGGTGTGTGTGTGTGTGTTGGGGAAAAACACAAAAACTTTAAAACTCTCAAAGGATATTTGTGGCCCTTAGTGGAGAAACTGCCATACGGGACAGCTAGCTGTGAATTCTGTCATCCTTTGGGGCCACAGTTCAGTCTTCTGCTGATGTCTGGTTAGGATAATGCATTGCCTTAAAACAGCTGTGCTCTAGACAAGGAGCTGATTGGACGAAGGGTGGTAAACCTGTAAATTGGTAAAGGACAAAGTTGAGATGGCAGGTGTGAAAGTAAATGCTTGCAAACATGGATGATATTCCAAAGGATGGAGGGACACGTTTGCTTAAAAAGAAACTGGGGGGCTGGGACTGTGACTCAGTGGTAGTGCACTTGCCTGGCATGTTGTGAGGGTTCAATTCTCAGCACCACATATAAATAAATAAAAAAGGTCTAACAACAACTAAAAATATATTTTTAAAAAGAAGAAGAAAAGAAAAGAAATACGTGAACCTATTAGTTCAAGATGTTTTGGGAAGAACAATTGAAAGAGAGAAGCCGGAATAAGGTTACTGATGGTTAGGTGCTATGGTGCACACCTGTAATCCCAGCCACTCAGGAGGCTGAGGCAGGAGGATCTCGAGTTTGAGGCCAGCCCTGGCAATTCTTTTAGACCCTGTCTCAAAAAATAAAAAGAACTGGGGATGTGGCTCAGTGCTAAAGTGCCCCTAGATTCAATCCCCAGTAGAAATTAATTAATTAAAGGCTGCCAGTGTCTCATTAGTGTAACTGACTGTCTTCAAAATCGGCCTTTTTCACAAAATGACCTTGGTCAAAAGGACATGCTCATTATCTTCTTCTAGCTAGATACCAGAAGAACATCAGAATGAAAATTGATAAAATTAACTTTTAATTAATTAAAAAACTTATTACCCTGTTATGAGAGGTTTATTTTTTTAAGAAATATTATTCTTTTTTTTTTAATTTATTTTTCAGTTTTCGGTGGACATAACATCTTTATTTTATTTTTTTTATGTGGTGCTGAGGATCGAACCCAGCGCCCTGCGCATGCCAGGTGAGCGCGTTACTGCTTGAGCCACATCCCCAGCCCCAAGAAATATTTATTCTTAAGTTTTAGGTGGGGGCTGGGGATGTGGCTCAAGCGGTAGCGTGCTCGCCTGGCATGCGTGCGGCCCAGGTTCCATCCTCAGCACCACATACAAACAAAGGTGTTGTGTCCGCCGATAACTAGAAAATAAATATTAAAAATTCTCAAAAAAAAAGTTTTAGGTGGACACAATATCTTTATTTTACACTTATGTGGAGCTGAGGATGGAACCCAGTGTTTCCTGCATGCTAGGTGAGCGCTCTACCACTGAGCCACACCCCCAGCCCCGTCAGGAGAGGTTTCTACAGACTCAGTCTGAGGCACAGTTAGGTTCAATCAAATCTATTTTATTAATGCTCATCACACTTCAGACATATCCTAATTCTAAGTCTTAACTGAGTCTACACCTAAGGGTCCCACATGCTCACCTGTGATGTGTTTTAAGTTTGGGTGGCTGGAACTTGATCTGGGCCAGAGGAGTCTGGTGCAGGGGGGACAATAGTGGTGGAGGTCTCTGTCTTTCTGTTTGGGTCCTGTTAGTCCTGCTGGCCCCCCAAAAGTCTGGGTTTTTAAGTCCCAGTTCAGTTGTGCTTGCAGCTGGTAACGGGGTGAGTTGTGGGGTGTAGACTCTTACTCACTAACTTAAGTCTAAGTTCTGCAGTTATCCAAGTTTTGCAGTTCACATTGCATCATGAGCATATTGCTTATAGTTTTTTATCCAACACACACACTAATAGAATCAACAGTCAATAATCTATAGTATTTCTGGTACTCACGTCACCTACACATGTTCTTCCTGCTTCCTTTCCTGTCTTTTTGTCATTTTGCTACTGGTCTACTGTGAGAAGTGGTGAGGAAAGAGAATGTACACCAGTGAGGTCATTTGAGCTTTTTACTAGTGTTTTTGTTTTTGTACCAGGGATTGAACTCGGGGGCACTCGACCACTGAGCCCCATCCCCAGCCCTATTTTGTATTTTATTTAGAGACAGGGTCTCACTGAGTTGCCAAGCACCTTTTGTTGCTGAGGCTGGCTTTGAACTTGCGATCCTCCTGTCTCAGCCTCCCTTGCTGCTGGAATTACAGGCGTGCACCAGTGTGCCCGGCTTTACTAGTTGTTTTTGAGAAAAAAAAAAATGATGAAAGAAGTTTGAAAAGTGGTTTGTGGATGATCTGTGGGTCTTAATGAGCCAGGAAATGTTGTGGAGGCAAGGCTATAATAATAATGAAGTCAGAATTAAGCAATCGAGCTCAATAAACGGCATATCCAAGTAGTCACACTGGGGAATTTGTTTTTAATTTCAATTCCAAAACCCTTTCTCTGCCTGGGTGAACTTGACCCACTGTCATCAGAGAACAGTTTCTCTGGGCAGGCCTGCAACGTGTCTGGACCTTCAAGGGAACCCTAGAACTGGGCTCCATGATGCTTACCTGTGATCCCGGCTATTGGGGAAGGACTGCAAGTTCAAAGCCAGTCTCAGCAACTTAACAAGGCTCTAAGCAACTTAGCAAGACCCTGAATAAAAATAAAACATTAAAAGGGCCGAGGGTGTAGCTCAGTGGTCCAGCTCTTACCTGGCAGGCACACACCCTGGGTTTGATCCTCAGAACTGGGGGGAAAACATCCCCTCATTTATTTTCTTTTTAATATCTGTAAGCTCTGCAAGAATGAATCCACATCGATTTTCTTTTTCCTCCTTCCTTTAGACTAAGATGGCTCTGTGGATGATTACCAGAAAGACTTTAGGAGTGAGCTGAAATCCATGGAGAGATCCATGCCTGAACTGGAAACAGCTGCCCACTAACAGTCAGCCACAGGCACTGCCCATTTCTCCCTGCTGTGTGTAAGCACTCCCAGCTCCCCATGCCTTTCCTCCTCCTTCCTGACTCAGGCTCCCTTTGGAGGTCCCTGCAGCAGACTCTAAGCATCTGCTGTCCCTTAGAGTTAACTTCCCCTTTCGGGTCTCCTGCTGGAGTAGCAGCCCAGGGACAGGCTTCAGGTGGAGCTCTTGTTTGGCTACGTGTGTCACGGAGCCCTGCACTGAAAGCTTCGCACCTAAAATCCTTACCTGTTTGCACCGTATACTCCTCACTTGATTTTCATTCTCAGACCCACACTCTCTCATCAAAACCATGTGGTCTTCATGCCATTGTATATATTGTTTTCCTTTTCTGAAAATAATTCCCTTTTAGAAAATTGTAGCAAAATACACAGAACGTAGCCCATCGAGGTAGTACACGCCTATAATCCCAGGAACTCCAGAAGCTGAGGCAGGAGGATTGCAAGTTCGAGGCCAGCCTCAGCGATTTAGCAAGACCCTGTTTCAAAATTAAAAAATAAAAAGGACTCAGGACATTGCTCTGTGGTAAAGCACTCCTGGGTTTAATCCCCAATACAGAGTAAAAATAAAAGAAAATAAAATTTACCATCTTTTAGGGGTGCTTAACCACTGAGCCACATTCCCAGCCCTTTTTTATATTTTATTTAGAGACAGTGTCTCTCTGAGTTGCTCAGGATATCAGATATCAGGAAAAACCACTCAGGATTCAAAGTACTGGTACAGGGAAGTACAATACCATGATTCTCTTAAATTTGGGGGGATTTGGTAGACAGCATAGCTGTTTTGGAACAGAACCCAGCAAAATCTCCCATATGAAATGAAAAGTGCAAAATGGTAGGAGTTGAGACCAAAAGATTGGAATTGGTTGGCACTGACTGTTAACGGAACAAAACTCGGTTTCAATCTTGGCTCCACTGCTTACTCATGTAGCTTTGTGGTCGGACAAACTACTTAACTTCTCTAAATCCTAGCTGCCCATTTGCAGCTGAGGATGACAATACAACCACTTCATAAGCCCTTGATGTTGACTTGGACAATGCCCACAGTCGGGGAATGCTGGCTGTCTACCCTTCTTCCCAGATTCTTTTTTTGTGTTAATCAGCTTTCCATCACTATAATGAAATACCTGAGATAATCAACTTATAAAGAGAACAGGTTTTTGGTTTACAGTTTGGATCACAATCCATGGTCTGTAGGCCCTGTTGCTTTGGGCCTATGGTGAGGTAGAGGATCATGGCGGGAACAACAGGCAGAGCGAAACTTAATCACTTACGGCCAGGAATCTAAGATAGTGAGGAAGGAGCCAGGATCCACAATTACCTTCTAGGGCATGCCCGCAGAGACCTCAAGACCTCCCACTAGACCTTACCCCTTAGAGGTTTCATGTCTTCCCAGTAATAGTATCTAGGTACCAAGCCCTTAGCATATGGGCCTTTGAGGGACAATCAAGATCCAAACTGTAGCATCCTCTTCTTCTAGATCAAACTGGTCGTCACAAGGGTTAGTCTTTTTTTTTTTTTTTTGGAACTGGGGATTGAACGCAGGGCCACTTAACCACGGAGCCCTATTTGTATTTTATTTAGAGACAGGGTCTCATGAGTTGCTTAGCACCTCACTTTTGCTGAGGCTGGCTTTGAACTCGGGATCCTCCTGCCTCAGCCTCCCGAGCTGCTGGGATTACAGGTGTGTGCCACTGAACCCCGCACCAGGTTTTTAGTCTTCTTCCTCTTTCTTACTTTCTTTAAGTGTGTGTCTGAGAGCAGAGTTGGTGTTTTAAAATACAGGCTTTATAATTATTCATGTTTGGGGACACCCATCGATCAGGAGGCAACTGAAAAGTTGGTTTTGATACACACAGTTCCCTAGAAACAGGCAGCACAGCAAGCCAAGCCAGAGCATATGAGCAGCCCCGGGGCTGGCTGAAGGCAGAGGGCGGTGGGGTGGGGAGAGCATGGGCGAGAGCCTTTGGTATGGTTTTCACAGGGTGAGTGAGCTGGGCAAGCACAGTGGACAGGCTCAGGATGGCTAGTCTGAGTAGGTGAGTGGTTCTGTGGGCACTGGACGCAGGGGTCTCGGTTGTTTGGCATCTGGCTCTGGATGAACAGGGGCAGGGGGGACATTGTCTGCTACAGTAAGAGAGCCAGGCACCACCAGAGAAGGTGGTGGAATGTGGGCTTTGCCTTGGTTAGTGTGTCTCTGAAGTGGGCAGTTTGCTATTTCCTGGAACCGACTAACCCTGCGGCAGTCTCTCCACAGTCAGCAAGGCCCCAGTGTCAGAGCATCAGGAACTCAGAAAAGAAGAAGAAATGCTTAACGCAGCAGGCGAGTGGGGAACACAGACTAGGGATTCCTGCGCTCCTGGGTTTCTTGGTCCAAATCTGTCTCCAGGGCTCAGGAGCCACTGGATCTACCAGCTGAGAAGACGAGTCATTAGGAACACAGCCTCTCTGCCCCAGGTCCCCTGGATTCCTCCGTGGTCAGCCTTCTCACCAGCTGGCTCCTCTGGATTCTTCACACAGAAAGGTTTTAAACGCCTCATGATAAATATCTCAGAGAGGTTAAGAAGTGACCTCGAAGGGAGAAAAGTAAACACTGGCTGGGAACTTTCAACGTAGGACGGACCTTACAAAAGGGGAAACCTTAAAGGGGGGAAAAAAAAAGATGTGCAGGAACACTAGTGACCGTCACAACAAGACATATTTTCAAATGAGGGTCCTGACTCAGCTGTAAAATCTCACCAAAGTCGAATCGTGAAAAAAGACTTTGAAATAATAAACCCAGCTCCAAATTAGGAGTGCTGGCAAATGTAGTAATTTCTACCTAAGAGGCTTTGTGTCCAAACATGTCATTTGAGATCCCAGGCAGACAAAGGAGAATGCCCTTGGAAACAAGGCGGCCATTCAGCCCGTCGCCCTGGGGCATTGGATTTCCTCTCTGGGCTCAATACATTTTCAGCCACATTAGGCACCAGCTTCAAACCTGGTGGGAAGCAAATTTAAGTGTCTCTTTTAGTGGGAAACAATGAGAATGCTGTATTTCACAAAAGAAAGGAATTCTATCACTCTGGATTGGTGGACTCCAGTCTGAATGATTAAATTTGGCTATAGCTGTACTCTTGGATTTTTTTTTTTGTACTGGGAATTGAAAGTGGGGGCGCTTTAACATTGAGCTATATCCCCAGCCCTTTTTAATTTTTTAACTTTTGAGACAGGATTTCTCTTAAAAAAAATGCCCCAGTCCTCCCCCCGCCCATTGAGCACAAACTCTTAAACAGTCTAAGGAAAATGTTTATCCTTTTCATATTTATCTTTAAATTCCCAGGGATGGATACATGAACGAATGAATGGGGCTGTGGTTGTGGCTCTGTGATAGAAGGCTTACCTAGCGTGTGTGAGGCATTGGGTTAGATCCCGGCACCACATAAAAATGAATAAATAAAATAAAGGTATTAAAAAAAGTGTTGTATCAGTTTAAAATAATAATAATAATAATAATAGTCATAATAATAATAATAGTAATAATAGTAATAAAAGAATGAATGAATGATCCATCCCTGTGTCAGAGAGGTGGCCCCAGGATACGGACATCATAGGACTAAGAGAAGATTTAAAAAGCATACATGACTCAAGTTCACCAACCCATCTATTCATTCATTCACTCTTTTCTTCCATTAACAGATGTATACTGATGGCTGCTGTGAGCCAGGCACTTGAGACACAAAGTTGGCAAAAGAGACGTGTGGTGAGGAGTAGAAACAGAAGCATCTGTGCTAGGGAGTAGGACCTCATGCCTACAGGTGGAGGAGAAAAATTTAGGAGCCACAGGAGAAAAGAGAAGGGATGGAGACAGGGGCATGGAAATGGGCAGGGAGCAGGGTCAAAAATCAAAAAAGAAATCTAAAGAAAAAAACGAAGAAGCCAAGAAGGGCTGAGGTGTGGATAGAAAGCCAAGGAAGAACTCAAGTCTGGTTCAGAGGGTAGACTCCAGGGGATAAGGTTAGGAAGGAGAAATGGTGTCTTTTGGGGAGGGAGTGGGGACTGAGGATTGAATCAGTCCAGGGCCTTGTGCATGCTAGGCAAGTGGTCTACAAATGAGCCACACCCCCTGCCTGGGACATGGTGTCTTTTTTTTTAGTACCAGGGATTGAACCCAGGGGCGCTTAACCACTGAACCACTCCCAGCTCTTTTTATATTTTATTTAAGTTGCTTAGGGCCTTGCTAAAGAGGCCGATTTGAACTTGTGATGCTCCTGCCTCAGCCGCCGGAGCTGCTAGGATTACAGACGAGCCCCACTCCACCCTGTGAGAAATGGTGTCTTCTAAAGCCAAAGGACAATGAACCATCTCTGTGCCACTTCTGTCTCAGTGTGGCTGCTGGGCATGAGTGTTAGACAAGCCCAGAACTGGCCAGAGGAGATCAGCTGGAGGGACCCAGCTCCGTCTCCTGTGAATTGGAGGTGTCCAGTGGGGATCATGGCCCCTGGTTAGGTCGACACAGTAGCCAGCAGGAGACTTGTCAGGGTTTGCCATGTCAAGAAGAGTGGGGAGAAACTCCATGGCTGGAGAGCCCCCCATACCAGCATACTCTTACACTCACATATATTCTGAGACCCTTGTGAGAGGAAAAAATCCTCCAATGTCCTGTCCCCAACTTCTTGTCCTAATTCCCGGGGCCTGGAATACCCTGACTACGTTCCGTTCCATTCAGTGTCAAAAAGGGATTTTGCAGATATCATTAAGGTTCCTGATCAGTTGATTCAGAAATAATCTAAAGGGAAATTATCTGGGTGGACCTAATTCAATCATAAATCCATTAAAAGCAAAGAGTTTTATTCAGCCAATGGCAAAAGGGGAAGTCAGAGTGATTGACATCGGGAGAAGGGTGGATGTCCCCTTCCTGGCCTGAACACAGCAGGGATGGCATGTCAGACCCAAGAGCAGCCCCAAGAGTGACCGGGGAGAAGCCCACAAGGGAACAGACCTCAGTCTAAGTTTTGCCATTAA